ATGGCTGAGTAGTACTCCATTGTATAAATATACATCTTCTTTATCCAGTCACCTGTTGATGGACATTTAGGCTGTTTCCATGTCTTGGCTGTTGTAAATAATGCTGCTATGAACATTGGAGTGCAGGTGAGAATGAATTATTCATTTCAGTTTTTCAAAGCGTGCACTGGAGTCTCTGGTGGAGAAGAATTAAGTAACCAACAAGAAAGTGGGAACCCTTTATAAAATGGATATAATCTGCTAATGTGTAGACATGGATTAACAACAACCAGTGGAGAGATAGAACAAATTTCTTTCATCCTCCACTCCTCTTTTTCTCTTACTTGCCACACCCAATCTGTCAGAAAATAATGTTGGCTCCCTCTCTTCAAAAGAGAATCTACACCCTTCTCACCACCCCCAAGAGAGCCAAGACCATCACTTCTCACTTGGATTAGTGGATTCCTGCAATGATCTCTAACTGGTTTTCCTAATTCCATTGGTCAATTTACCAACCTGCCAAAGGTGATTATTTCAAAATGCAAGTAATACGTTATTTCTCTGCTCAAAATCCCTTCATGGACCACATTTTTTTGAGTGAAATCCAAAGTCTTTTTCCACCTCAGGTTTATGAGCTTATAATTGACATATAGCATTGTGTAAGTTTAAAGAATACAGCATTATTATTTGATACAGTTATATATTACAACATTATTAAGACAGTAAGATTAAATAATACTTCCATTATTCATATAATCACCTTTTTGTGAATTTGTGGTGAGAACATTTTAGATCTTAGTAACTTGGTGTCTTAGTGACTTTCAAGTACTTAATACCGTATTGTTAACTATATTCACCATGTTGTACATCAGATCCCCAAAGTATATCCATCCTGTAACTGGAAGTTTGTATTCTTTCACCAACATCTTCCCTTCCACCCTACTCCCCAGGCCCTGGCAACCACCAATCTAATCTCTGTTTCTATTAGTTTGGCTTTTTTTAGATTCCACATATAAATGAGATCATACAATATTGATCTTCCTCTGTCTGACTTATTTCACTTAGCATAATGCTCTCAAGGTCCATCCACATTGTTGCAAAAGGCAAGATGTCCTTATTTTTTAATAACCTAATAATATGTCATTGTATATATGCATCTCATTTTCTCTCTCCATTTATCCACCAGTGGACACTTGGCTGTTTCCATGTCTTGGCTATTGTGAATAATGCTTCAGTGAACACGGAAGTGCACATATTTCTCCAACCTAGTGACTTCATTTTCTTCAGATGTTTACTCAGAAAGGCGGTTGCTGGAACATATGGTAGTTTTATTTTTAATTTTTTGAGGAACCTTCATACTGTATTCCACAGTGGCTGTACCGATTTACATTCCCACCAACAGTGCAGAAGGATTCCCTTTTCTCCACATCCTTGCCAACTATTGTCTTTTGTCTTTTTGATAGTAACCTCCGTAACAGGAGTGAGGTGGTACCTCATTGCAGCTTTAATTTTCATATTCCTCATGATTAATGCTGTTGAGCTCCTTTCATTTACTGTTAGCCATGTGCATGTCTTTGGAAAAATATCTATTCAGGTCCTCTGACCATTTTTAATTGGATTATTTGGAGGTTTTTAATGAATTTCTTATATGTTTTGTATTAACTGCTTATCAGATAGATAGCTTGCAAATATTTTTCTCCCATTCTGTAGGTTTTCTTTTTCTTTGCTGACTGTACAGGAGCTTTTCAGTAGTCCTATTGATATATTTTTTTATTTTTTAATTTATTTTTGTTTTTGTTGCTTGTGCTTTTGGTCAAATCCAGAAAATCATTGCCACGTCAACGTCAGGGAATGTCCATGAATCTTTTTTCATGGAACTGAAAAACTGGAGATGTACCTTGGAAACACTAGCCTGGAGCGCTGGTGTTCTGTCTCAGGAGGGACTTACTAAAAGTGAGGTGTGTTGAGGTGGGTGCTAAACATAGCAGTATCCAAACTAGGGCATGTTCTGGAGCAAGAGAGGTTGTAGCTATTTTCGGTGGTGAACTGAACACAGGTGGAAACAGAGAACTTGATGCTGGGGGAAGTTCAGTTGGAGTACACATCTTTCAGTCCAGTTCTCCAGCCTGGGGACACACCTTGGCTCTGTGGCGCGTTTCTCCATGATTACTGCTATGCTTCTGCATATTTTCCAGAAAGTGTGTAATTGTACATCTTGTTTTTCTCTCAGGTTAGAAAAAATGTCTAGGCTTATTCAGTAACTAATTAAAACAATAGTTGATGCTGTTTTGTCCTAAAAACTATTAATAATGAATGCTCAACTATTTTTATTGAGTTGTAGTCAGTTTACAATGTTGTGTTAATTTCTGGCGTACAGCACGATTTTTCAGTCATACATGATTATACATATATTCATTTTCATATTCTTTTTTACCATGAGCTACTACAAGATCTTGACTATGTTTCCCTGTGCTATGCCGTATAAACTTGTTTATCTATTCTATATATACCTGTCAGTATCTAAAAATCTCGAACTCCCAGTCTGTCCCTTCCCACCCCCTCATCCCTGGCATAAATAAGTTTGTATTCTATGTCTGTGAATCTGTTTCTGTTTTATATTTAAGTCCATTTGTCTTCTTGATTTTTACATAATAGATTTTTTCACATTTACATGAGATACTCTGCAAAAAGATTTAATTTTTGCTCCAAAAAACAAGAATTATATGTAAAAATAGCTATTTATTTCACTGTCATGAACTTTGAGTAATTATTGTCAAATCTGTAAAATTGTATTTAATAATTTGAGTCACTGGATTTTTTTAAAAATCTCTAAATGATAGATACTATTAATAATAATAAGTCTATACTAATAGCATAGTCCAGGAGTCAGCACATCATTTGACCTCATGTTTTGTAAATAAAGTTTTATCAGAACACAATCAATTTGTTTACATTTTTACAACTGCTTGCATACTGCAACTGCAGAGTCAGTGAGTTATGTGGCTATGATATTCTTCAAAGGCTACATTATTTGCCACCTGGTCCCTTGCAGAAAAAGTTTGCTGACCCCTGGGTCCATTCCTGATTTGTAGGCATTCTTAGAATCAAGTTTTGTTCAGTAGACTATCAACCATGTAAA